GGGGGGGTGGGGAGCTTTCAGGTTCAGATATTGTCACTCATTACCTAATGATATAGCATCCTCATCAGTCTGTATAAGACCTTTCTCTTTTTATTGTATCTTTCCCTTCATTCCCTATTTTGATTTCTTTGATGGTTATTTTTCTTCTTTATATGTAAATTTTGACACTTCATATTTTTCCAGAAATTTATCTGAGCCACTGCTTCCCAACCTAATCATGTTGCTGCACACATAGAAAATAATTTGTGTATTGCACAGTGAGGTATTTGAGGCCAAAGGCTACAGACTAAGGTTACCTGGCTACCACAGGCCCCATGGGTCAGCCTGAGAGCTAAGAGCAGTATCTCAGGATAAATACAGCCCAAATATTTTACTTGCAATGATACACCCAGTTGAGAAGCTTGATCTGTACTTTGAAATATATTTGTGTATAGTTCATATCCATCAGTGATCTTTCAGTGAATCACAAAGATAGAATTGTTAGTATAGCTCCTGTTTTTGGTATGAAAAAGTAAAGTAGTAAGTAATTTCATCTTAATTAACCCAGGCCTCAGTCAGCTGCTGCCATGTATCTGGAGGACAGGAAAAGGGCAGAATGAAATGATGTCTACAAAGCAGAACAGATACGTTACAATCAGGTTGGGTCACTAGACTCATGTTCCTGGAGTGTCAGGTGGATAGGAGTAGCTTACCATTCATTATAGGCCACTAAATGCCTACTAATTCAGACCTGCAGGCAAAGGGGAGTCTGGTCTTTTGAATTATTTTAAAACTTGGGCAACAAATTGATCCTGGAGATGACAGAAAAACACAAGATAGATTTGATTTCTCAGTGTGATCCAGCACAGCAATTTTCAAACTATGATGTCAGGAGTCTTTTACACTCTTAAAATTATTAAGGATCCCAGAGAGTTTTATGGATAATATCTACCAACATGGGCTGCTTTAGAAATTAAAATGGAAATTTAAAAAAATAAATTTTATTAGTTCTTTTATAAATGACAATAAATTGTATTGGTAATAGAACTAATGTTTCATGAAAAATATTTTC